TATGTGGCCCTTCAGCTGAAATGCTCCTCTCGAGCTCTGTTCCTAAATATCTATAGACCACCCAAATACTGTGCAAGCTTTTTTGATGACTTTACTGAACTGCTGTCTATAGTGTGTATTGACTTTGACCGTCTAGTCATTGTTGGTGATTTTAACATCCATGTTGACAACCCCCAGGACAGAGGGGCTAAAGAAATGTTTTGTGTTCTTGATAGCTATGGACTGACTCATGTGACGGAGCCCACGCACAATAAGGGGCACACTCTGGACTTAATTATCTCAAAGGGTCTGAATATCTCTAAGGTTGTGGTGACTGATGTTGCACTCTCTGACCATTCCTGTGTTTTTTTTGAGAGCTCTATTTCTGTTCACAAAAATGTTCAAAAAGAGGTAACCACAAAGCGATATTTAACTGAAAATACTAGGGAAATGTTTACTCAGAATTTTTCTTCCACACTTGCCCCTGCTAACATCTCAGTAAATGAGCTAGTAGATCATTTTAATTCAAAAATTAAAATGTTATAGATGCCATTGCTCCAACTAAGGTAAAGGAAGTGTCTGGCAAGAAAATATCTCCATGGAGAAAGGCCATGACCGTGAAAACAGAAAAAAGAGAATGTCGAAAAGCTGAACGCAGGTGGCGAAAAACAAAACTCCAGGTTCACTTTGAAATCTATAAAGAGAGACTTGGCCTTTATAATTTGGAATTGAAAAACGCACGACAATTGTTTTTCTCTGACATCATTACCAAAAACAACGCACGTGCCTTGTTTGCTACCGTCGACGGACTAACTAACCCCCCAGTGTCAGTAGCCTCTGAATTTCTATCCACCAGGGCGTGCAGAGATTTTGCCTCCTTTTTCACTGACAAAATTCAGAAAATCAGACAAGCAGTCAGTGCCTCTGCATCAGGAACAGCAAATGTGTTGTCTCTGTGTCCACTTAACATCAATTCAGACATCATGACACAATTCCATCAGATTAATGATAAAAACCTAGAGGACATTATACAACTTCTGAAATCCTCCTCCTGCTGCCTTGATATTATTCCAACAGGATTTTTCAAAGATGTTTTGCCTTGCATGGCCTCAGATCTACTTCATATAGTAAACAAATCTCTTCACTCAGGTATTTTTCCACAGGCCCTGAAAACTGCAGTCATTAAACCGCTCTTAAAAAAGAATAATCTAGATGCTTCAGTAATGAACAATTACAGGCCCATATCAAACCTCCCATTTCTAGGTAAAATCATTGAAAAAGTTGTTTTTCAACAGTTGAGTAATTTCTTGCATTTAAATAACTGTTTCGATGTGTTCTAGTCAGGCTTTCGCCCAAACCACAGCACTGAGACTGCTCTTGTAAAGATCTTTAATGACATCCACTTAAACACAGACAGTGGCAGAACTTCAGTGTTAGTATTATTAGATCTCAGTGCTGCGTTTGACACTGTTGACCACAGCATATTACTAGACCGACTGGAAAACTGGGTGGGACTTTCAGAAACAGTTCTAAATTGGTTTGAATCCTACTTAAAGGACAGAAACAACTTTGTTTCTATAGGTAAATACACATCTGAATTGACAAATATGACATGTGGGGTTCCTCAAGGCTCCATCTTGGGGCCTCTTCTCTTTAACATCTACATGCTACCACTGGCTCAGATAATGAAAAACAACAAAATAAGTTACCATAGCTATGCAGATGACACACACATTTACGTAACAATTTCACCAGGAGACTATGCTCCAATTCAAACACTGAGTAAGTGCATTGAACAAATCAATGACTGGATGTGTCAGAACTTTCTCCAATTAAACAAAGATAAAACTGAGGTAATGGTTTTTGGAGCCAAGTCAGAACGTATACAAATTAGCGCTGAGCTTCAGTGTGCAATGTTCAAAACAACAGATAAAGCCAGAAATCTAGGTGTAGTCATGGACTCTGACCTGAGTTTCAACAGTCACATTAAAACAGTTACTAAATCAGCCTACTATCACCTAAAGAATATATCTAGGATTAAAAGACTAATGTCACAGCAGGATTTGGAAAAACTTGTCCATGCTTTTATCTTCAGTAGACTCGACTACTGTAATGGTGTCTTCACAGGTCTCACTAAAAAATCTATTAGGAAGCTGCAGCTGATTCAGAACACCGCTGCTCGAGTCCTCACTAACACTAAGAAAGTGGATCACATCAGTCCTGTTCTGAAGTCTTTACACTGGCTTCCTGTGTGTCAAAGAATAGATTTCAAAATACTGCTGATGGTTTATAAAGTACTGAATGGTTTAGGCCCAAAATACATTTCTGACCTCCTGCTAAATTATGAACCATCCAGATCTCTCAGGTCTTCAGGGACTGGTCAGCTTTCTGTCCCCAGAGTCAGAACTAAACATGGTAAAGCAGCGTTCAGTTATTATGCTCCAAATATCTGGAACAAACTCCCAGAAACCTGCAGGTCCGCTGCAACTCTGACTACTTTTAAATCCAGGCTGAAGACTTTTCTTTTTGTCGCTGCTTTTAATTGAACTATTCATATCTTAGACTGCACTGTAACTTGTATCCATGTACTTTTTCTTTTAATGTTTAGTTGAACAATTCATATCTTAGACTGCACTGTAACTTTTATCCATGTATTTTTTCTTTTAATGTTTATTTGATTAGCTTTTCTTTTTAATGACTGATTTTAAATGCCATTTTCTTAATGTCTTTCATTTTTTGTAAAGCACTTTGAATAGCCTTGTGTTGAAAAGTGCTATATAAATAAACTTGCCTTGCCTTGGTCGATTTTGATTGACATCTCTTTCTAACCGCTAGAGCCAATGGAATCGAGGGAAAGTTCCCCATACACACACAGGTTACCAAATAAGGAGTGAGAGAGACGAGTAGAAAAACCGGAAGCTGCGCAAGCCTCTGGTGTCCTGTCCCCCCACTTTACAAATATGTTTATTTGTTAACGCAAGCCGTCTTCGCCACAGAGGAGCACACAGCCTCTGTGAGCGAGTGAGACAGAGAGCAAGCTAGGGAGAGCACACTTTTATCTATGTAATAAATCATTCCAATGTGTACTATAGGACAGTAAAAAAAAAAAAGTTTTAAAAGAGGAGTGATTAGTCAAATATGCATAAATGAAAAATAATGCTAACTAGGTAAGATAAGAATAAACAAGTTTAAATGATTTGTGTTGTGATCATATTCTAAAGATGTTTGGATTATTAAAAAGTATACAGCTCCTCCCTTTCATATGAGTGTTGAGAGCTGTATCCATACATTGATTTTGTGCTCAAAGTGCACCAGATTGATGCATTTAACTTCAACATTTAAAAAACAGTCTTCCCGGGCGAGCATTAATCACATGTTTTCAATATTGTTTTTATTTCAAACTTTATAAATCTGGTTGTGTGGTTTAGGTTTTACAACACCTTTTGTAAATGTGTTATGAAAAAATAAATCTATTGGATATGCATGTTGCACAAGGTCGATTACAAAGAGAGTCCCAGTCAGTCTGGATCTTTTGGATAGCGTCTTCATCTGCACTGGCATCAGCTGACACAGCAGCAGCTGTAACTAACAACCATCGATAACCATCAAATTCCTTGTTCTTCAAATAAGACATGTTATGCATCCCAGGAAAGGCGGAAAGCATTTAGACTATAATTGAAGACAAAGAACCCTGGAACGTAAAAGGCAAAAACATTTGATCTCCAGTATCCACATCCAGCTGTTGTGAAGACCTCCATTGTCTTCCACTACAGTATGTCAACTGTTGATCGTTATCATCAATGTTCCCATTCAAGTGATGGGAACATATAACACAATCTGGAGTTGCCTCTGACATATAAGACCTGGATAACACACAGTGGTATCTTTCTGAAATATCTCCCAATATTTCTTTAGACAAATATTGGGAAATAAATGCATTTGTCATAAATGTACATAATGTGATTCCAGTTTTTAAAAGCTCTGGACACTAAAAGGAGATGTACAGTAATGAAAATACAACCTCACTGTCAGGTTTGACAATAAAGAATGCCTTTATAAAGGCTATCGGACACGTTTTCAATATTTATTGTTTTTATTTCAAACTTTATATATCTGGTTGTTTGGTTTTACAACACCTTTTGTAAATAATGTGTTACGAAAAAATAAATCTATTGGATATGCATGTCATTGTCTCCCATGTGATTGTAAATATGATATTTTTGTATAAAGAATGACTCAATTCTAACTGTATTGGAATGGCAATAAATGACAAACATTGTTATATAATTTTGATTCATCCTTTTATTTGCCCTTTCTGTAAAATGGTTTTATCACACCATTCTCTCAACAAGAATGAAGGTATTAGTATGCCTTTTTAACGTCTGATAATCCTGCATAATGTTTTGTGTTGACATCTAGCCATGTGAAATATTCTCAGAATGCTATACTTTCAACGAATTTGCAAAAAAGATTAAACAAGTTTGTACTCATAATCCCTTATGCAGTTAGTCAAGATTTTTCACGCTGAACATCTATAGAATTGTGTTTTCTTAGAAAAGCTTTAAAGGGGGGAAACATCTGCTCTTGTTTTAATTGAAGAGATTGCTATATATCCCATTCATAGGTTTGTTTCCATTCTAGATCAAACCAAATAGAGGGGACATGTTTCCAGGAAATATAATTCAAAAATTGACAGTCCCTCAAAAGTGTAGGCTACTTGAGTTTATTGATATATCTCTTTACTCAAGTACTGCCAAAATGAACTATCGCATGCAAGCAGCGTTTAACAATCAATACATTTGCCAATGGCTTATCAAGCTTTATTACCCTCATTTGTGGTAATAAATATTAATATTTGATAAAATAAGTAGTTTTTTATAGGGCTTGGCTTAGTCTGTCCCCTTCACTCTTATTAAGAAAATACAATTATTACAAAAGGAGGTTTATATTCTTTAACCAATGTAATGTGTGAGGGAGTCACGTTGTGCGAGCATCACGCAGTGTCGTGCTGTTAGCCTCGAGCAGGCTCTCTGTAGGAGGGAGCACGCTGTGAAAATCTCATCGAGAATCCACTGGAGGAGCTCTTCCGTGTCCAATGGCTGCTGCCGGTCAGTGGGCCGTGATAATTGAGTTCAAGCCTCTATAAATTGTTGCCGCATACAGAGGCAGGTAGAGTTGCCGGTCCTCGATCCTGTGTTTGTTTGACTAACGCTGAAGATGGAAAATACCCAGAACAAAGTGCAGAGGAAGCCTGTTCGCCTCATCGCGGCGGCCTGCAATGAGATGGGCATCGGGAAAGAGGGGGGAATGCCCTGGAGTTTACCGTAAGAGTGAAACCTTTGTGATGTCTCTTATGTGACTCATTCAGTCAGGAAGTGTTATGTCTCTAGTCTATATAATGAGATGTTGCTGTATCGAAGAGAGCCTCTGTATAATATAGCCTGTCTGGCCCTGTCATATAGGCTACTATTTCACTTGATTTTGATATGCTGGAGTCTTTGTATCCACATGTGTGCAATATGACAGCCCAATGGTGAGTATTACCAACTATTAGCTTGTATCCCACTATCTCCCAACCTCTAGGAAAAGTCTAGTGGAAAGTTTACATAGCCCATGAAAGCAGCTTCTAAGAGCTATTCTCACTGTCCAATATGTATTATTTTTCCATCAATGTGTGCCAGAGGTGTCAATATACATGCATACTTTGTTGGGGGTAATCGACCCGCTGTGGGACTAAAAAAGGAATTTTGATAAAACAGAGGTACAGCTGTGAGCCGATGTAAAGCTTTGGACAACTTTGCTATATTTCTAAATGAAAAATGAAAAATTGTCATTTTATTTCCTTGATTATGTCATTTGATGAAAGCAGTGTATGCTGAACTTCTTGGTGTATAGGTGAAAGCAGCAGCAGTGCTAGTTGAGAGAGACATTACTCCATAAAGCCAGAAATCTAGGTGTAGTCATGGACTCTGACCTGAGTTTCAACAGTCACATTAAAACAGTTACTAAATCAGCCTACTATCACCTAAAGAATATATCTAGGATTAAAAGACTAATGTCACAGCAGGATTTGGAAAAACGTGTCCATGCTTTTATCTTCAGTAGACTCGACTACTGTAATGGTGTCTTCACAGGTCTCACTAAAAAATCTATTAGAAAGCTGCAGCTGATTCAGAACGCTGGAACAAACTCCCAGAAACCTGCAGGTCCGCTGCAACTCTGACTACTTTTAAATCCAGGCTGAAGACTTTTCTTTTTGTGGCTGCTTTTAATTGAACTATTCATATCTTAGACTGCACTGTAACTTTTATCCATGTACTTTTTCTTTGAATGTTTAATTGAACTATCTATATCTTAGACTGCACTGTAACTTTTATCCATGTATTTTTTTCTTTTAATGTTTATTTTATTAGCTTTTCTTTTTAATGACTGATTTTAAATGCCATTTTCTTAATGTCTTTCATTTTTTGTAAAGCACTTTGAATTACCTTGTGTTGAAAAGTGCTATATAAATAAACTTGCCTTGCCTTGCCTTACTCATAAAAGCACTGTCTTTTGAGTTTATACAACATAGTAAAATCTGAAAAAGAGTTGTTTTAAAACTATACATCTCATTCCATGGGGCATCCTGTGCTGTATGTGGAAACTACAGTAGGCTACATGGGGTTATTTTTGCTTAACAGCTGACTTTTGTATGCCTGATTTTAATATTCAACATTTCACCCTTACAGATCTGAATTCCAGTGGTTCCTGAACAAAGTCACAACGGTGTCAAGACCAGGTATGCCTCAACGTCCATATTTCATCATAGTATCGCCATCTTATTAGGGCTGGGTTTTAAAAGCTGTAAAAGTTGAGATGTGGAGAGTCAAATATGCTATTCTTTTTTGTTTCAGGAAAGTTCAACATGATCGTGTGGGGGAAAAAGAGCTGGTTCTCCCACCCAGAAAGTACTTTCCCACTGCCCAATACTCTTCATGCGGTGTTGAGTTTGACACTGGAGTGAGTGCTCTCTCTCACTAACATCTGCTTTGAGATTCCAGTTTTTTTTGGGTTACCCAGAAACCAATCCCAGATTTCTTATTGTTCTTGTGAAAATAACAAACTTTTCTCCTCTTACAGCTCACCTCCAGATCATGCCCACTTTGTGTGTTCAGACTTAGAGGCAGCTGTCCACCTGGCTGGGAGCCCCCCCCTCGCTGACCTGATAGAGACCATCTGGATTGTTGGAGGAGTGCAGGTCTACAAGGTAAGCGTGTTTCATTGAAGCCTCGTGATACATATGGCAGAGAGCACGGCAGGAAAATTAGTTTTGGCCAATCAGCTATGGCCCCTTTCCTCGCATGACTCCCAGCATAACCAACCAGCTCTACCAGACTTCAATCCGTTCTACTCCGTTAGACTAATTTAACAAATGTATTCATGTTTGAACAGCATTTATGAGCCAATGGGCCTTCAGTCTTGTGTGCAAATGTTCTGACACATAACCAAGAATTAAAGCGATTACACCAAAAATGCCTGTTAGCAGAAGAACTCCAGTTCTAGTAAAAATCAAGGTACTGTTAAATACTGTCAGAACAAAATAGATTTTATGGGATTGTATGGCCATAAAACAGTTATCGCGGTACTGGAAAAAGCATGTAGGGCAGTATGTGCGCCATAGAGAAGTTTAAATATCGTCCTCCAAGGGTTTTCAGTATTATTTGGGATCAGTGGAACACTAGTTTATCTTTAACTCACTAATATAATAATCCAGTTATTATAATGACTTTACAATTTATAATAATCTTAATTTGATTGAGATTTGTGTGTTTTTATATTAAACTAATGTTTCCTTGCGCTAGAACCAACAATTTCTGGATGTTTCTATTTTTTCTTGGTAAGAGCCAAAATTAAATAAACCCACGCAAATCCCAGAATCAAAAATATAGTGACATATTAAGAACAAACTGTTCTTACAAAAAGGAAATTCATTCAGTTAGCTTCCTGCAGGAGGTGGTCTGCACATTTTATTACACTAGCAGGTTTGGTAAACAATATACTGTTAACATTGTCAGTGCTGTGTGGAGTCACAAATATAAAGAGCTGTCTTCCGCAACTAATGGATTTCTTCCTTCAAATGTCAGTATGTTCTTCCTTACAATAAAGGCTTATTTGTATCCCACATTCTACCGTATTGAAAAAGAAAAGCCACATTGTTAATACTGTTAATACTCTGTTCATTCTTCTGATCAGGAAGCTCTGCTGCATCGGTGGTGTGACTTGGTTTACCTTACGAAGGTCATGGCAGACTTTGACTGCGACGTTTTCTTCCCCGAGTTTGACAGAGAACTCTTTAAACTACAAGAAGGGTGAGTGTCCATCTCCTCCCAGACCATTATAGTGTGTGTTGTCCTGACCCCACGTCTAAACCGTGACAAGTGATATTTAAAGTTGTTTTTAACCTCGGCACACGTTGCTGACGCCCCATGAGAAAGTTATTTTTGCCTTTTGTTACAAAATAAACACGAGCACTACCATAGGACCGCACCGTTGGGGGTTTCTCTTGTTATTTAAAATTCTCTGCACTGAATTTGAAGACTAAATTACAAAATAATATACTAAAAGTAGATCATTCCCTTGTCTTTTTATTATTTGAGGTGATACATTACAACTTGTAATTAAAGAGTATTTTCATTGTTCTATGTCACTAGGTTGTATTCCATAACAAATGTGTATTATGTATGGATATTGTTTATCTATTTAATTATTGTGTTTGCCAGTTTTCTGTTCTTTTAATAAACTCACAAAGCTATTTTTTACTTTGTTTCCTAACCAGATTTCCTGGTGTACCGAGTGAAATTCAAGAAGAGAAGGGTGTTAAGTACCAATTCCAAGTATTCAAGAGAGAGACCGGCGACAGGGTTTAGACACTTAACAGAGAAAAACTCAAAGTCACTCATTACTTGATTACCTTTCAAGATCGATTGCAGAGTCAACTCATGGACAGGGAAAGCCAAAGTCTTGCTATCACTTTTTGTATTATATGGAACATTCCAGTGTTAATACTCTTTGACATGCTTGAAATCCCATTCTTGTTTTAAATTTAAAAAACAGCCACCCGCAAAGCCAACTCTTTGAACTTCGAGCTAATGTTTGCAACTAGTGACACTCTTAAATACTTCTTTCCGAGAACAATCAGAGAGTGGAACTTGCTACCAAAAGAAGCTGTCATCGCAGAAACCGTGGAGTGCTTCCGGCAAATTTTAAGAGACATTTAGCGGGGATCATCCATCCCCCACTGAGCGTGATACCTCTGGGTTCTGCTCAGTATTAATCCAGATCCAGACATCTTGTCAGGTTTCCCCACTCGTCCTCAGTAAGTGTGCAGCTGCAAAGAGAAAAGGGTAACAAATAATGAGACGTACTTTTGGATGAAGGTTTTATCTGTCTAGTCTTTTGTAAATTTGATAGTTTTTTCATGAAATGGTTAAAAGAAATGCATCAAGAAACAACTGAATTTTTGTGAACTTACTTTTAATGAAAAAAATAAAACAATCCTTCCTCATCTGGTTGTATGTGTTGCTTTATGCCACTAGATGGAGGCAACTCAATGAGAAAAGGAATGACAGCCCACCTTAATGCTCCCGGGAACTGAATTAACCACCAACTTGCATTACACACACACACACACACACACACACACACACACACACACACACACACACACACACACACACACACACACACACACACACACACACACACACACGGGTTCATGTAAAACAAGGTGGTCATTAATGAAAATAGCACCCTGGGCCCTGACAGAGACAGCTCTATTGGTATTGGATTTCATGTTCACCATGAAACCCTTAGTCAAAGCACATCATCTTCAACTAATTACATTTTGATACAAACACTTTGTACAAACAAGAAAACTAAGATAGTTAAACATTATTTCATGACATACTCCTAATTCATTACAATAAGAATATTTGAATATTGATATTTGTGATATAGACTTTTAGTCATTTATTTGGCACAGTTAATTTTCCTCAGTGGCGTCTTGAGCCTTTATCTCCTATGGGATGTTGGGCGGAGTGTGTTACAGGCACCCATACTAGAGCGTCCTGTTGTTCCTATTTTTTAATTGAAAGAACTTAATTGTGAACGACAAATATTTGTTGATATTGGCAGCAGGAGAGCTCTTTCATGTAAGCAGGATCAATAATACAGCTAACATCTTATTCAATAGAGGTAACATTGAGTTGCTTTATTATGGTTAATCTTTCAGTAAAAAAAATACTATTGGTTGAAGGCTATCATTATGTGTTCTTCAATCTTGAAAGATTGCAAGAATGTTGAATGAATACAGTTGTTTCAAGGGTATGTTATGAATACATTTTAAATGATTTTAGTTTCCTTGTACCTTGTTAATATAAAGTACCTCTATTAATATTGAATTAGTTCAATATTATGTTTTACATTATCCCTTACTTATTTACTTTTTGAAGAAGAAGAAGATGGACCTTTATTTATCCCCCAAGGGGGAAATTCAGTTTCCACTCACACATGCGTTTTTTTTTTTACATACAGTACACACTTTTTACATATACACAGTTATATGCACACAGTTGAGAGGTCAGAGCAGAGGCAGCCAGTCTAGCAGGCGCCAGTGAGCAGTTGGGGGTTAGGTGCCTTGCTCAAGGGCACTTCGGCAGTGGCCCAGGAGGTGAACTGGCTCCTCTCCAGTATCAGTCCACACTCCGTATTTTTGGTCCGATCGGGACGTGAACCTTGGGTCCAAAGTCCAATCCCCTACAGACTGAACCACTGCCGCCCTGGGCATTGATCTTTCATCAATGTGACGTTTATTTTCCTCCCACATCATGGTATATTTGAGTTATCTCAACAGTATGGAGCTAGAGAGACAACTAATAACAGAAAACCAATTTTCTAGCTTTGTGAGTAGAGAAAAAATTAAACTGCAAATGTTATTTTTTATTTAAAGAAACACAACACAAGTGCAATAACAATATTTGTTCATGTTTTTATTTTAAGGCGGAATGTTAGAGGTCTATTGAGGAAAACAAATATTAATATATATTGCAACTTTAAGTTTTCCTTAGTGGTGAACACAATACTTTCCTTTGAGAAATAGTGACTCTTCTCCTGCATTAGCTTGTTTTGATGAATATACTTCATAATAAAAATGTAACTCCCACTGAGGAATATTTATTGCTGTAGTTGTCATCCAAATCCTGACTTCAGCTGGATATCATAGCTTTTAAATGCAGATGTCATCTGTTTCAGGTGAGATATAATCCATAAAAGCAATTTGTTAAGCGTGGCTAATATCAACCAGTGTCGTGTTTGAAATGAAAAAGTACAATTTATACTCCCTCTTATTAACCTATCTGGCTTGTCTTCGTAATTCAAACCCACAGTGCGGCACGACACGGCCGCAGAGGACAAGAGGACGGTGGGTAAGAAATAGAAGTGACTTGCATTTATACACCTGAGGCCTTGTCCCATCCTGATTAACTCCTTGTATTTATTGCAGAGCGAAACTCAACCTTGATGAGTTTAAGAAAATGTCACGGATGTCTGTGTTTTAGAAACCGTCAGTACATCAGCTGCGGTGTACTCCTGTTGTGCCGCCCTCAGGGTTTCCATGTTATGAATGGTTTAAAAATGAACTCAAGCATCCATCTGCTGAGCACAAATTCATTACCAGATGCACTCACTTTCGCATCATCTGCCCAGTGGCTATCACCATGACTACAGAGCCTTGCTGTGTGATGCAGGAAGCGGCAGATGGGCAGTGGAAGTTGTTAAAGTATATAATCCCCCCCCTCCTGTCCCACCTCATCCCTCTGGACACACAAGTCCTCTCTCTGTTTTTGTTGTGACCCCCATCTTACACAGAGAAGGAACCTTCAGGCATAAAGTCATGGCTTCATTAGCCGTGGAGCCCACTCCCATTAAAGGGCACTCTTTCACATGCTTCAAGGGCTTTTGCTGGCTTTGATATATTAAGACACATTCAAAACACAACCTTTTTGCAATGCCCTCCTTTGGTTAGACAATGCTCAGTAAAATTGTGTATTGATTTTGTGGCCGACACTTAAGTAAATGTGGGCACTAGCCCAAAAGCAGTCTTTTTACCTCTGAATGACGCACACAGACAGGAAAAGCTCATTAATTAAGCCAAATATAATCGAAAATCTATTTTACATGAATGAACTGAAACTGCTTTTTGAATTAATATTGAAAAGTGCATTTAAAGAAACCGTTCAAATCATAGGACATTTTCCTGACTTTTATTTTTCTCATCTTTCAATAGCATTTGAATTCCTTTAAAATTATAATGACATTTCTGAAGTGAAATGGCATATAATAAAGTGTCTCCATCTGTAAACTAACAATACAAATCTGCCACTGATTTCTTCCCTGAGGGAAACAGTGCTGCCAAGAACATTGTGTGAAAATAAGAGACTTACACAGGCTGTAAATAAAAAGCTTTGAACAGCCTTGTTTGTCCGCAGTTATACTCATTACCCAGTTATATTATGCAGTGTTTTATTCCACAGTCCATAAGACTGTTAAACAACTGAACTAAAAACATCCATAACATTCACCTGTTTGTAACTTACAAATATATGAATATTTTAATCTGCATTTGGTGTTTGGATACACTTCATTATTACAGGAAATAAGGGCTTGTCTCATGACTCAAAAGTAGTTTATTGATTGGATTTTAATTACTTTGAATTCCACCAGATTGAATATTTTGGCAGCAGAAAGGGACTCTCAAATACTTAAGTGTGATCCTTCATCCTAATTTTTCACACCTTAAATATACATTTAGCCTGTATTGACACCCATAAATCGTGCATACTGAGATACTTTCCAAAAGACACTCAAGTTAAAGTGGCATAAATAGATATATGTGGGATAAACAGATGTATCTCATTATAAATTGAATGTTTGAAATGGGCTCACACTTTAATCCTACACTGAATAACATAAATAATAAGAATATTAATACACAATTACACATCCAGTTTAAACTTGAATTCTCTTGATTTAATCCATACAAATGATGTCAGTCATCCACTTTTAGAGGGGCGACAGGGTTAAAAATAGGTCTTTCACTACGTAGATGTAATTTTTCATAGCTCATCTCAAAGTCCTTTTTAGTGCCATTAAGGACCTCCAGACTACCTGTCCTTACGTCATACCCGTGCACCCTCAGTCGCTGGATGCGATAATTCACTATCTGCGTGGTCAGCTCCAAAACAGTCGGAGTCTCTTTGATTTGCGACATGCTGATTCCAACGCTGAGCAGGCCCTTAAAGCGCTCGGCCAGAATATCCTCAGGGTAGTAAAGCACAGCCGGGCAGTTGAGGACGATGTGCCGCAGCTCTGCCTCGGAGCAGCCAATGGTGTCCTGCGAGTACGCCATGGTGCGGCGCATGGTGTCGGGGTTCAGCTCGGTGACAAATCCCCTGAGTTTGGAGAGCAGGTGGAGGAGCTCGGCGGTGCTGAAGCCCTTGTCCCTCAGAAACAGCAGGTTCTCCCTTAGCACCTCAGGGGGCTTCATGAGAACAAACGGGTTCTGACTCAGCAGCTTCTGCAGCCAGATCTTCATGTTGGCCTCCTCCCCCCCGAGCTCCTGGTAAGCCTGCTGGAGGGTGCGCACCATCACCTCGTTCTGCTCCACCGGGCGACTGAAGCTCAGCGGAGCGCTGGCCATGAGTTTAGTGATAATTCTCTTGTTGAGGTTAAGGCTCTGGAAGAAAGTGATGTTGTTCCGCTGGTTGTCGTGGTGGCTGGAGGAAGTGAAGAAGGAGGCTGGGAAGTTCTCAATGATACCAACCAGCTCTTTGTGTTTCGGGCACACAGACATCCACAGCTCCCTCTGAGTCTGCATCTGCTCCGGCTGGCAGAGAACCGCCTCAGGGTGAACTGTGAGGATCCGGGCAATGACAGGGCCCGAGGCCCCTAAGTCCTTCAGCAGGTCTGCTACCTCCTTAGTGTAGGCTGGGCTCTGATGCAGGACCCAGCTATTTAGTTTCCGCACCTTCTGGATGTCCACAGAGAGATCGTAGAGAGCCTCCACAGTCTGCTGGTTCTCTGCTGGGATGAGTGTTGCACATGGTCTTATGTGTAAAGATAGAGCTGCGGCACTTTGGCATCTGAGGCACAGGGATGTTGCGATCAAACGCAACATTGAGTCATGAGGTAGATAACCTAAAGGAGCAAGAGAATAAATAATGTATAGCAGAGGGAGCTTTATGATGAGCAGACCATTACAGTGATACAGAATAACATATAAAACATTAATCAAACAATGGTATCAGCTGTGGTGATGCTCTGAAAAGTCAACGGTGTGTCACTGTCGGCCATGTGATCCTATCAAGACAGGATACTACCAGATGTAAAATGCTTTTGTTTCTCTATCCACAGAAACCTCAGGCAGTTGTACAACAATATCCTCTTAACGTTATGCAGTCAGGGGATTTTTCTGGGGCTTCCTGTTGTCACTAAGCCCCACAGATAAGAAAATTAAATTTAAACAATCACAGTTGTGCTAGTTCATGTAAACGTCCCCCTTTAAAACAAGTATTTACAGAATGCTGACAGAAATGTATTATCTCAATGTATTTTCCACTAAAACACATTAGGACTACTACTAAGGCAAATGGAGGTTGTCTGAACAAGTCAGGAGTCATCAATCTGTTCCCTCTGCCAAGGACAAGCAACAAGAGGAATCAAAACAAGAGAAAGACACAACACATCGCTCAGAAAACCTTGAAAATCTATCACTGCACCCGCCTGAGGAATGTCTTGATTATGGGAGACAAATGGAAGAGTCTCCACCGCCCTTTACACCCCCTATCACCTCTGAGGATACTCTTCCTTCACCCCACAGCTCTCTCTACTCTCCGTTCACCCTTTCACCCTCGCCCACCCTCCTGGAGATCGTTGAACACATGAAGGAGATACAGAGGGTTGGCACCGATTCCTTCCTGGAGTTCAAAGACCAAACTAAGGCGATACGCAGGGCTGGCAGCATGTCCTTTACCCCCGCTCCTCAACGACGCCCACCAAAATCACTGCAGAGACGCGCACCATCTCCCCCGTCTTCATCACCGTGCCTACGTCAACCACCTCCCCCCCCTGGCAGCATGTCCTCTACCCCCACACCATCTCCCCCGTCTCCATCACTGTGCCTACGTCAACCACCTCCCCTCCCTTCAAGAAAGCATCTGCAGTCTCCGAAGCCTGATAAGGATGTGTGTGTACAAAACGCAACAAACTCTTACTGATATGTGATGGGTCCAGGCTCAAGAGCGTATGGCACTCTCAACTCTTTCCAGGACATGCCGGGGCCCTGCCTGCCAGTAGCTTTGCCGATATCTGTGTTGATAGGTAATAGATTAAGAGCGGTGAATCAGCTTAGAAACAGGAAGTGCTCAAACGTTTGTGTGAGTTTATCAAATTTAGCAGTGATTCCATGTCAGCCACAGCTTGTTACAAAAAACATGACTGATAGTGTGTTTAACAAACTTAAACTAGCTTTATTAAATGTCAGGTCTCTGGCAGGAAAAACATTTTTAATCAATGATTTTATCACTGAGCACAATCTTGATTTTATGTTTTTAACGGAAACTTGGATTGAACAAAATAACAGTGCAGCTGTTCTTATCGAATCAACCCCTCCCAACTTTAGCTTTATGAGTCAGGAAAGAATGCATAAGAAAGGGGGTGGAGTTGCTATTCTGTTCAATGATTCCATTCAATGCAGGAAGACATCGTATGGGAACTTTGCTTCTTTTGAATATGTGGCCCTTCAGCTGAAATGCTCCTCTCGAGCTCTGTTCCTAAATATCTATAGACCACCCAAATACTGTGCAAGCTTTTTTGATGACTTTACTGAACTGCTGTCTATAGTGTGTATTGACTTTGACCGTCTAGTCATTGTTGGTGATTTTAACATCCATGTTGACAACCCCCAGGACAGAGGGGCTAAAGAACTGTTTTGTGTTCTTGATAGCATGTGACGGAGCCCACGCACAATAAGGGGCACACTCTGGACTTAATTATCTCAAAGGGTCTGAATATCTCTAAGGTTGTGGTGACTGATGTTGCACTCTCTGATCATTCCTTTGTGTTCTTTGAGAGCTCTATTTCTGTTCACAAAAATGTTCAAAAAGAGGTAACCACAAAGCAATATTTAACTGAAAATACTAGGGAAATGTTTACTCAGAATTTTTCTTCCACACTTGCCCCTGCCAACATCTCAGTAAATGAGCTAGTAGATCATTTTAATTCAAAAATTAAAAATGTTATAGATGCCATTGCTCCAACTAAGATGAAGGAAGTGACTGGGAAGAAAATATCTCCATGGAGAAAGGCCATGACCGTGAAAGCAGAAAAAAGAGAATGTCGAAAAGCTGAACGCAGGTGGCGAAAAACAAAACTCCAGGTTCACTTTGAAATCTATAAAGAGAGACTTGGCCTTTATAATTTGGTATTGAAAAACGCACGACAATTGTTTTTCTCTGACATCATTACCAAAAACAATGCACGTGCCTTGTTTGCTACCGTTGACAGACTAACTAACCCCCCAGTGTTAGTAGCCTCTGAATTTCTATCCACCAGGGCGTGCAATGATTTTGCCTCCTTCTTCACTGACAAAATTCAGAAAATCTGACAAGCAGTCAGTGCCTCTGCATCAGGAACAGCAAATGTGTTGTCTCTGTGTCCACTTAACATCAATTCAGACATCATGACACAATTCCATCAGATTAATGATAAAAACCTAGAGGACATTATACAACTTCTGAAATCCTCCTCTTGCTGCCTTGATATTATTCCAACAGGATTTTTCAAAGATGTTTTGCCTTGCATGGCCTCAGATCTACTTCATATAGTAAACAAATCTCTTCACTCAGGTATTTTTCCACAGGCCCTAAAAATTGCAGTCATTAAACCGCTCTTAAAAAATAATAATCTAGATGCTTCAGTAATGAACAATTACAGGCCCATATCAAACCTCCCATTTCTAGGTAAAATCATTGAAAAAGTTGTTTTTCAACAGTTGAGTAATTTCTTGCATTTAAATAGTTGTTTCGATGTGTTCCAGTCAGGCTTTCGTCCAAACCACAGCACTGAGACTGCTCTTGTAAAGGTCTTCAATGACATCCACTTAAACACAGACAGTGGCAGAACTTCAGTGTTAGTATTATTAGATCTCAGTGCTGCTGTTGACACTGTTGACCACAGCATATTACTAGACCGACTAGAAAACTGGGTGGGACTTTCGGAAACAGTTCTAAATTGGTTTGAATCCTACTTAAAGGACAGAAAAAACTTTGTTTCTATAGGTAAATACACATCTGAGTTGACAAATATGACATGTGGGGTTCCTCAAGGCTCCATCTTGGGGCCTCTTCTCTTTAACGTCTACATGCTACCACTGGCTCAGATAATGAAAAACAACAAAATAAGTTACCATAGCTATGCAGATGACTCACACATTTACGTAACAATTTCACCAGGAGACTATGCTCCAATTCAAACACTGAGTAAGTGCATTGAACAAATCAATGACTGGATGTGTCAGAACTTTCTCCAATTAAACAAAGATAAAACTGAGGTAATGGTTTTTGGAGCCAAGGAAGAACGTATAAAAGTTAGCGCTGAGCTTCAGTCTGCAAGGTTCAAAACAACAGATAAAGCCAGAAATATAGGTGTAGTCATGGACTCTGACCTGAGTTTCAACAGTCACATTAAAACAGTTACTAAATCAGCTTACTCACTGGTCAGCTTTCTGTCCCCAGAGTCAGAACTAAACATGGAAAAGCAGCATTTAGTTATTATGCTCCAAATATCTGGAACAAACTCCCAGAAACCTGCCGGTCCGCTGCAACTCTGACTACTTTTAAATCCTGACTAAAGACTTTTCTTTTTGCCGCTGCTTTTAATTGAACTATTCACATCTTAAACTGCACTGTAACTTTTATCCATGTATTTTTTCTTTTAATGTTTATTTTATTATCTTTTCTTTTTAATGACTGATTTTAAATGCCATTTTCTTAATGTCTTTCGTTTTTGTAAAGCACTTTGAATTGCCTTGTGTTGAAAGGTGCTATATAAATAAACTTGCCTTGCCTTACCTGTATTAAAGTGAATTGCTGTTTATGTAGTGATGAAAAAACCATAATGTAATCTCCATGCTGCTTCAACACAGAGTGCACCCAGATGTTTACATGTTGTGAACATCAGCACATTTCCTCAACCATAATCAACATTTTTGCACATCATGCATAAAATATACCACCTTCTAATTCATAACCAGTTATATATTACACCAAAAACAGCCTTGCTCTGATAACACAGTATTTTATACTATTCTGCACAGCTGGTTCCAGGTGTTTCATATGATCAAACTCGTGGGTGGTTCAACAACCATCAGCTAACACATTCAAAACTAGAGCAACCTTAGTGCAACTTAATGCACATTATTGTGACGATGAGCACAATCGTACATCCTAACATCTTATCAGAGTTTACGCGGATACCTAAATAGGCTACACTTATCCCGCAATTTCAAAATAAAAGTCTCCTTAAATGAAATGCTGTTTTTTAGTCATAGAAACATGCTAGGTATGTAGCCTGCTTGTTAGCTAACTAAGAGACAGTAGCCTCGCGGAACATCACGTAATTTAACCATATGGCTTAACATGGTAACTACCAGTCACTGTTGACAAAGTGGTGTAAATATTTTAAAGGTAGGCTATAGCTAGTATTTTGGCATCTTTAAACTTACTTAAAGTTACCTTAAGCAGCGGTCAGAGGAAGTGGCGTATTGTTATGAAACTGTCTTCTTCTTCTTCTTCTTCCTCTTTTTCGGGTTTGACGGCGGTTGGCATCCAGCTCAATGGTGCATTACCGCCACCTTTCTGTTCCATAGTGTGGATCAGACAGTACTTACTTCTCATTCTAAATCCCTCACAATAAAATGAGATTAAAAAAAACAAAGAAAAGAAAGAAACACCTAAAATCCTATGAAACCCCCCGGCCGTACCCCCTAAGAAATATAACAATGCCCTAACCTGTGCTGCCTCACTCATGCTCGATACTACCTATATAGTGACATCCTGTACTCCTACCTCCTTTAAATGATTTCTCAACATCTCCCTCTATGTTTCATACTTTTACATCTCATTACTGCATACTCTATTGACTCCCAGACAAACCAGTCTGGTGCACTATTAATTTTAACATTGTGTTCAGTGCACAGTGCCCCAATCTCAATCTGTTCTACACGGTTTATTCTCTACAGACACTACACAACACTATTTTGAATTTGATGTAGATGCCTCCCTTTCCCACCTTTCTTGCCACATTTACTTTCTCCCAGATTACACATTTGACCTCGGCCTTAGTAACATGTATTTGCATTTCTACAATACCCTTCTTTAAAGGCCCCTTTTACAGTCCATCGGCCTTCTCATTTCCCCTCACCCCCAATCTATCAGATGTTCTTCTGCTGATTCCAATACCTTTTTCAGGTACTGCCACCCCAAATCCTGTCACTACTGTCCAAGGTTTCTTAGCACCATCTGTGTAAATGTGTTTGAAATACCCTATATTCATTGTTAACAGGTATATCTTATTGTTTCCTTTCCTTTTAAGCCTCTAACAAATACAAATCTGTTTCAGGCCACACAAAAATCCATGGAGCCATCAAAGGAAACACCACTGAAGGGCCTATCTTCAGATCATACACTCTTTAGCAACACCATTTTCTATCTGACCAAAGTTGTGTAATAAAACTGGTTTCCTGTTCTGCTATTAATAGAGATCAGCGTTGTGCAGACGCGGTGTCCAGTACTTGAGAAAAACACTACTAAGTCGTGAAAAATACAAATGTGACCCTGAAATAACTTTGATTTCCTTTTTTTATTGCATCATGCACAATGTAGAAAAGTGTTAATTCATTGCATGCTCCTAATGCCCTAATTTATTCCTCCTTTCAAAGCTCTGCTCTTTTATTGTAGCCCATATGTCCAGTAGTGAAATATTTGTGGCAAAAGTCTGTATCTCAAACAGCAGTTGGTGCGCCTCCAAGCCCTGCAGCATACGGGGCCCTGATGAGTCTAATCAGTGCAGGGCTGAATTGGACTGAACACACGGAGAGTTTTCTCACAGTTGGTGCTTAATCATGATGCTTGATCACCAGCTCTGCAAGCTGTTCCCAGAGCCGCTGCTGCTGTGTGGGTAGCTAGGTTCATTAGAGTTTATGTACCAGTAAACAGATGATGCGCCTCAAAGGAAAACAGGTTGGTGCCTCTTTCCTTAACCCAATATGTTGACAGGAGTGAGCTGGTCATCAGATTGCACAGATATGTATGATGTGATAGATAGATTGTGTCCAAGCACAACACAGAGAAGAGACACATGTGTTTCATGGGAGAGGACTTTATTTTTTGTGGAGCAGAGGCATAAAACAGCACGTAGGCCTGCAGGGTAAACACTGTCTTTCACCCTTCTTCTCTTTGCAGTCAACCTGTTAAAGTTTCCCCTACCCATATCAAGTGTTTAAGCAAAGTCACGCATTCAGTATGAAACACGTCTTGCAATAATACTCCTGTTATTTCTGCAGGTATGAGGAACTTAAGCAGGTTTTTTTAGGAGCCAACTCAAGCAAAAACATTTGGAAGCTTACTTGGCAAAGATAAGTAACAAATGCATAAAGGATACGGGCTGTATGCAGAATTCAAGTCCCCAGATCTGTTTGAGACTGAGATGCAATTACCCCTCTTATAAATATGATGGTGGTGTCCAATGTGCATAACTTGCCTAGACTTATGACATGACGCAATGTACTTACTGTAACTTTATTGTGTTTTATAACACTCAAATGAAGGACTCAACTGCAGGTTACAGCACCGTCACCAAAACAAAGAATAATAGCAGCAAAAAAAAGATATAAAGGAGGTTTTCCGATTAAATGTGGGGACAGAGATGTAAAGGAAGAATGAAAGTACAAGCTTTTCCAAACTGCCACTGAGCACCACAAGCACAATTTGGTACCAGTTGTCAGAGTCATTGCAGATGCTCACACACCGGGTGCTGCTTTGTTGAGTTAAGAAATTAAATACGTCTCATCACAGAGGCAATTTTGTCCAAATACAATGAAAAAAGTAGCCTAGTTTCTATTGTCCACTGCAAAGGCATCATTTGATACAAAGATTATCCTCTGACCCACTTCCTGCACTGTTGGTTGAAGTACAGGGTTTTCCCGACAGTGTACTCTGTCATATAATACTAGAGATAGCCCTGGGGCCTCATTTATAAAAGGATATACGCTCAAAAAATGGCGTACGCCAGTTTCTTCGCAATGTTTGCGATTTATAAAATATTAACTTGACGGGAAAACGTGCGGTCCTCCACGCAAACTCTGACCCATGCGTCCGCACTAAGCACAAAAACGGGAGAGACGAGAAACTGCGACACCGTTGGCAGAAGGAAGAATGGAGAGAAATATGTGGAAATAATACCATAAATAAAATGTTACCTCTCATTTATCATATATGAAGAATTCATTTTCACAAATTGATTAAAGCCATACTTAAAATGATTAAACAAACGCCTGTTTGCGACTCCTCAGTGCACACAAAAACATAACTTGGAGAAATAAATAAATACGGATATGTTATTTAAAACCACCTCGAATATGTTGTGTTAATGTTATGAAATGTTTTCTCATAAATTATGCGGTAAGCAGGAGGACAGAATTACGTCTAAACTGACGCCGTGTTGCATTTCTATAGGTTGTAGATACGAGCATGGTTTTATATAGCCTACTATCATGTTTAATCATGTTTTATGCCGTTTGCCAAGACTTGATAAGTCACTCGTAAAACACAGGAGGTAAGAACACCATATGTGGTAAATTGTACAGCTAATATAACACAACACATTAGTTGTATTTCCTTTAACTGGTGGATATAGGGTTGCTGCGGGGGGGGGGTTGAGACGCACAGGCTGCAGTGGAGACGCTGCGCACAGCTGATCGACAGCTGGAACACAAACCACCAAATACAAAAACATAATTCAGATCCAGTCGTCATGACTCCACACCGGAGGGATTCCCCGTTCACTTCTTACAGTTTCTCGTCAAGGGTCTCCTGTCCCTGGGCTGCTTCTCAGGTCGACTATTTTCATTTCCTCGCTCCTCGGTCTCACCGGAAGTTGATTTGCCTGCGCCATCTTGAGTACCGTCCCATGGCTCTTATTTCTGCCGGAGGACCGAGGATCGAGGAGCGAGGAGCGATCATGGAGGAGCGATAACCGAGGAACCACCAGACCATCCTCCGATAAAATCCTCAGATACTCACCCCGCCCCCTTACCATGTATCGCTCACTGATTGGACGAGGCAGTGCATGCACTGATCTGATGCTTCTTGACATGAGAGCAGTTTCCCAGCGGAGTGAAGAAAATACATGAACCTCACGGGACTCACTCCTCAGTTTATACCGTGTTTTGTTTCAATTAATGTATCATTTAGTTACACATATGTGATATATCTGAACAACAAAGTGGTCAAAAATCATTTTATTCATTTATTGGAAACATTTTCATGATCGCTTTTTTCGTTTCACATTTTCATTTATTGTCATTTCCATTCGGTCAGTCATTAAGTGCTATTAAAATGTTAATGTGCTACATATTCAAACAAACAAACAAAGTGTGCAATCCAATGAATGTTAATCTAACTGGGTTTTGATAGATAACATATCTCTTTTTCTTCTCTCAATTATTGTATTTCTATTGTGCACTCTAATCAATAATAATCAAACTATTGTTCGTTTAAATACATTTTAAGAATGGCGTTTATCTTTTTTGAGAATGACTTCTTATTTTATTTCATGTATTTGGATCTACAACAGATGATACTAATGTTTATGTCAGTAAATGTGCACTAACAGAGGCGGGGGTGTTTGTGGAAATAACGGGTATAGAGCTGGCTGCTGCCAGACGAACAGCCGTGCAGCGTCATCACAAACGGACGTCGCTTCACGTGACGCTCCGCAGGAAAGGACGTCCCATTGCTCTTAAAACTCATTTCCCTGCTTCTCGTGGTTTCCTTGCGTCCCTCCATGCTTCCCTGGTGGGAGGGACTAAACGCAGGGAAACGACGCAAATGAGGGAAGCAAGGATTTCATTTAATCGACCAGAGAAGCAGCCCCGGTGTCAGTACCAGATGTGTTCGGGGTGTCACTACCCGATCTGTGCGCATGTGCGAGATGGTCCGCCATATTGGACAACGCCGGACGGCAACCCAAGTAGGACAACATTAACATCTAGACCGTCTGAACCATTCGCAAGTTTTTACATGTGACAAAATATGCATTGCGCATTCGCGAGTTTTTACATGTGACAAACGGTGATTTGCAGAGTTTTTACATGTGACAAACGGTGATTTGCATTGCATCTGACAGAATGAAGACTTTTTTGTTTTATTACAGAATGAAGACTTTTGCATCTGACAGAATGAAGACTTTTGTGTTTTATTATTTGGGGTTAAGACAGAGCCTATCATACTGAATACACATTAGAGCAAATCTCTGTTATCAGTCCTTTTCTTCAGACTATTATTGCTAAATTTGAAAGAGTCCTTACCAGCTTTGGAATTGTTGTGTATATATATATATATATACACACAATTCCATATATATATATATATATATATATATATATATATATATATATATATATATATATATATAGCACCTTCTGCCATATCGTCACCCTTTGCAGCAGAGGTGTGGACTCGAGTCACATGACTTGGACTCGAGTCACACATTTTATGACTTGAGACTCGACTTGACAACATCACAAAAGACTTGCGACTCGACTTGGACTTGAACACCAATGACTCGGG